CAGTAATTAGTTCAAGTGATAATCCTATTAACAACTATCATAGTATGAGTCATCATAGCCTTTACAATCAATGGTATAACGGCTCACAGAAGAATTACAGACATTCAAGTAATTTAGACATCAGTTATTCGGAAGATTCTAATAGCTTGAAGAGCAACAGGTATGTTTAATGAGTATTTTATAGTTATGTTCTTCGAGACTATGTTGTACATCCGTTCCGGAGATATTTTCTGACAAACATCCAACCATCCGTCTAAACTTTCACATAATATTATTATAATAAGAAGAAGAACTCTTAATGAGATAATAAGTGATGTTGCCATCTGCAGCAATATGGCAGTGGAATTGCCAGAAGAAAAAAAGATGTAGATAAGGCAAATAATACAAGAGAAGGGATAAAGCATTGATTAAATATTATGTGTAAATTTTTATGTTGATGACATTTAATTTTTTGTAGTGAAATAACCGAGGAGCGTGTGACCGGGCGGCGAGCGGACAGAGAACAGAAAGGTCGCCGTGACTCCTCTGGATCTGATTCTGACTGGGACAGACAGGTGAGGATGTTTATAATTATTAAATCGACAAGGCGAGCAGAGTATAGCAGATTTATAAGATTAAAACATTGCATGTTCTTATTAAGTACGAGTGTAAAAATCTGCCTGGTCCGCCCTGGTCTGTGTGAACGAAGCCTTTCATTGTGTACTTAAAATATATAAATAGATTATATTTTAATAAAAGTCTAAGCGTAAAGTCTAGTAGCTTTTTAAGTTTTTTTTTTATTTGAGATCGGATTTGTTGTTTTTTTGCAAAAATTGACAATAAAATGTCATCATATATATATATTATAATTTTCATGATGGGAGTAGAACTAGCGGGAATATTGATATGACAGATATAAGAAAAAGTTTATTAAATGAACTCAATCATGTGACTGTCCACAGGTATAATAAAAAACATGATATTAAAAAAAAGAATGAGGTCCTATTCTAAAATATTAAATATAGAATTCGAAAATTTTCAGAATAACAGCCGGTGAAGAGAATGTCCTATTTCATTTTGTACAACTGGAATCGGAGAAAGGATTTTTGATAGCGCCAATGAAAACTATCGAAATGCAAGCGAACAATGTTTTATATTCTTACATTGTTGCTACTTTTAGGAAGGCTTGTAAGAAGATACATGATTTACTGCAATATAGTATGAAGTAAGTTTATAGACTCCGTCCGCGCAGTATTAAAAAAATCATAATAAGTAGACTATGTTTCCTTTCAGACTATGTTCCACATCTGTACCAAATTTCATCAAGATCCGTTGAGCCGTTCAGAAAATAACTTGTAGCAAACATCCGTCCATGTAAACATTCGCATAAGTAAGATTTTTTTATTCTGTCAAAGAAAAAAATGATATTTGTTTTAATTATTTACTCTTATTTACTATAATTTTTATTAATCTTATGTAAACTTACAATTGAACATGGACACTATAATACAATGTTATTTTGATTTTTTTCACAGATTTAAAAAGAACCATGCGCCATCAAATCCGTTAAATAAAATCCTAGTGGCAGTCGGAGAGTATGGCAGCTTGTTTGAAGTACCTCCTGATGTTCTCATTCAGTGTGGCATCAATAAAAAAAATTGTGAACCCTTTCTGTTTTGGGTTGTCGGGTATTGTCTTCTATTATTATTTTCAGACTTGGAAAAGGAAGCATATGTACGACTTAGGCGTTTTTGTTTTTAATATATTTTTAAATGAAATGCTTAACATTTAATGTCTTGTCCCAGTGTTTATAACTTTTCTTTCATCATCATTTTGCAATTATTTCTTCATGCTAACTTCTAATCCTAAATAATAGTTATAAATCATTGTACTATTGTTTAATTTTTTTTATTTATATTTTAGGCGAGTTTTCAGTGAACCAGAACCAAGAGAACTAAACATATGGTATCACGAATCTGTTCCCCAGGATCTTACAGAAGTGGCTCAATTATTATCTTATTTAGAGTAACGTAATCATGATCAAATATCCTTGTGCAGATTAAAAGTTAAATTATCTCAATCCCATATTAAAAAAAGTTGACCTAATTAATCTTACAAATATGATATGTGATATATTCCGTCGAATAAAGCGTTGTTTATAAGATGTATACAATAATGAGTGACATTTTACAGTTTTGTTTTATTTCCACTACCTTAAAAGCAATAAAAAAATTATGATGAACGAAACCGCTATGTAAGTTGAACAGACTAGGAAAATTGACCTTACCATCATATGTGATACGATTCAGACAAAATTAACGACAGCTTACTAGCGGGCCCCTTAATACTTCACAATCCTCTTTGTGCTGTAGCTGTTAAATATCTTTCTGTGTCTGTTTTAAATATATTCTTAGATATCCTTGTTTGACTTTTTTAATTCATATGTTTTTTTATGACGGCTCAAACCAAAGAGTATATAAAAGTATAGATATAGACCACAGTCTAATCGAACAGAAAGTCCATCAATTAAGTTTCTTTTTATACCATGCAGACCACGTCTGCTTTTGCATATAATTCAAGGCTAAGGAAGGCAGGTTGACAAAAAAGAATCTTTTTTTACACAATTTTACTTACATACAAATTAAACAACACACAATACAAATCAGTCAAAATAATTAAAAACATTCTTCACTTGACAATGCAGTTGTTTGCTAAAATAATTGGACATTTTGAAATGAAATACAAAATATGTATACCCATATAAAACCGAATTATAATTAAAAATATACAAATAAAAACAACAATAATAAGTTTGTGCAAAATGAAAGTTAGAAAAGTAGGAAAGAGGAATTCCTCTTCAACTCAACACAGTTAATTGGCGGGAAAGATGACAGCTGAATTGGGTTGCCATCAAATTTGATTATAATTTCCCCTTTTTGCACAAACTTTAATTTTTTACATATTTTTGTATACAACACTTGACTAGTAAACTACTTTATATATATTATGCATAATGGTAGATAGAAATGGTAGATATCAGTATATAGTCAGAATTGTTCCTATTCAATGGTAATACTGCTATTTATATTGGCTTGATAAATTTTCGTATCGGATTATAAATTCGAAGCATAGTCAAACAAGGATATCTGACTCGGTGATAGAGGCGCTGCTGTCGCTGTTTGTGCTGTCATAAAATAAAACCTATTTGGGTGCATAAAATGCCATAGATAAAACAATGCAAGACAAATACAGTACGATAAGGATCTTGTGATACTTTTTTGACATTGAAAAAATTAGCGCTAGGGAGCTTTCATAATTTAGTTTGATTTATGGCCACCTTGTCAGATATTCTCATCAGTCTACAATGAATATTACTTACAATAGAAGTCGTGACAATCATTAGGTAAAGAAAAAAAAATGTCTTATTAATTGTAAAAAATATAAAATTCTATTGTAAATATAATAAAGAAATACTGTTATAAAATATACCTATTAAAACATTTGTAGTTTTGAACGTTATTTGATTTAAACAAAACCTCAGATAAAGTAACAATTTAATACTAAAAAAAACTAACAATATTTAAAATGCTTTGATGGAACTATAAATATTACGATTTATGTGATTTAAGAAGCACATCTATATAAATATGAACTTACAGACAATAATTTCAAGTAATAAAGCTTAAGTTTAAATAGTGTTATGTACGCTAGTAAAAATAGTATTTTGTTCTTATGTTTAGCGAAAGACATAGATTTAAAACCTATAGATATAGTGTTTCATACAAGTTTGACGTCTAATCTAGAATCAAATGTTGATAAGTCATTTGGTATTGGAAATAAGACACAGATAGAATTTATCTCAACAAAAGGCCTTTGCCGACATAGATATCTATAGGCGATAAATCTATAGCGAAAGTGACGAAATTGGAAGAGATTCTTTAATGGACAAATGACAAGACAAAAAGTTATTGTCTGCTTTTGGAACATTAATTACTACTTAAACAAGGATATCTGAGCCGGTGAGAGGCGTTGCTGTCGCGATTAGTTCTGACAGAAAATATGTAACACCTACATGGGCATAGAAATTAGAATAAAAAACATCACATGAGGTAACGTACGAAAAGTATCTTGAGGTATTTGTTTGACTTTGACAGAGGGGGGGCTAGTGAGCTATCATGAGTTAGTTTACCTTAAGCCCACCAGGTCAGATATCCTTGTCAGTCTACTTTTATATTTACGTTAGCTTCAAAAATTCTACTGTAAACTTGTGTTAAACATTTAAACTCTGTTTTTTCTAAGAAAATAAAAGAGTTGGCAATGTTATCCAAGTGTTAATTGTTACAATCAACGTGGTCACATTTAAAGTTAAGCTTACTAAAGCCTTACTTTATACATAAATTATAAGAAATTACAAATTTTCACTCTATTCATCTCAGGTTAAAACGCAATGTTGACAGATGACAGATGTCAAATTATTATATAGTCGGTGAGAAAGTTGTTCTGACAGTAAAATGTAAAACCTAATTGGGCATAGAAAATGTTATAAAAAAATAATAAAACATGAGAGCTACACTACGAAATTTTGATAATTTACTGATATTGACATGAGGGCGCTAGTGAGCTCTGTTTATTTAGTTTGACTTACGCCCACCGGATCAGATAACTTGGTCGGTCTGTATCTCATTATTATTTATTTTTTTACATAAACCTAATTAGATCTTCCTTTACAAAAAACATTTATCACACAAACATTTAAATAAACATATGCGGTGCTATAATAAACATTTGCTATATCCTAATATATATGTTTTATCCTAGCCACACAACATTAATTAAAATAAATACAATCTACGAACACAAATTGTAAAATATTACAAAAATTATGCCGATTTTGAACTTCGAAAATTTATCATATGTGGGTGGTTTATAAACCTATATAATTGCGATGCGTCGGGTTAAAAACTACTTATTTTGAATTTTCACTGAACAAACTGACCGAAAAACCCGTATATATTGTTATTTTAAGTTTTCGAATGAGACTAAAAGGAATAACAATGTCGAAGGTTGCTCTCTTACCGTCTGGATGACTCTCGCTTATAGAGGTTTCTCCATTATTCAGGTTCGACTGTACATTTTGTACGATAATTTCGACAGAAAAAGTCGGCATTGTGATTTTATGAAGAATTTATGGGTATTTTTTACGTGTGGCAACATTAATTAAAATTAAGTACTTCTATATTTGGTAGTTTATTGCACATTACAATATACATGTTATTATTTATTTTGGTGTTTTGTATTTATAAGTCAAGAAATAAATAATTTATAGCTTAGTGCTATAATATTATATTTTTAAAATACTGTTTAGAAATAGACGCTTAAAGCATATGCGAAGCAAACATTTTTCATAGGTTATAGTTTAAAATTAAATTGTTTTAAATGGTAACATTTAAACAGATAATAAATATTTTTATAGAATAAAAATGTTCGGAGTTTTTTTATATCATCGTAAAAAATTATTTTTCTTTCTAAAATTTATAATACCCGTTTTAATGATCTGCTATATTAAATGTAAGTAATAAATACAAGTATTCTTTGATCTTTCTTTCATAACACTAACAAAATGAATAAATAAAATGATTTTTATGACTTCCTCAAAGGAATTTCTTGAGTCAAGCTATCAAAAGTTACAATCGTTACATCTCACTTTTATAAACAAAACTTTAAATATAAAATCTATTTTGAAAAATTAAAGTCTGTTCTATTCTCAGTTCATTAATTTTTCAAAATGATTTTCCGTTTTTTTCGTAAAAATTTCAACAATTTTCTTTTTATGTTTAGTCACAGAAAAAGTTCTTTATCATTTGACAATCAATATTAAAAAGAAAATTTAAAAAATGTCTCATAAAATTAGAAAATCTATGAATCCATTTAATAACTGTCAATATTGTCTACATTTATACTATACAAATGAAAGCTGCGAGTACATTGCAGCGTAGCTAAAGCTCTAAAGGAAAATCACCCTTATTCCCTTTACCATACCTCACATTTATGCTCAGGGTTCATATTAGATTTAACCGGACAGTTAAACTCTTGAGAGAACTCTCTAAGATTGGATATAGGACCGATAACTCTATACTTAGCAATTGTATGGTCGTCCTTCTCTATCTGCATTTTGGTTGATTCTTTGGTCATCGATGAGCACCATACCTGGAAAATTTTAATTTATTTTTATATTTCTATTTTACTATCATAATCACAATGTTTAATTTATATTATTGTTTAAGTAACATTAATCATTTTTTTAAAAGAAATCCTGCTCGAAGGACCTAAATAATAGAGTTTTTATTATATATAATATTATAAGGTGGCAAACGAACGAGCGGCCACCTGAAATCGCTGAAGTAGCGAAGTGACCGTTGCCCATAGACATGCGCAATTACATATGCGTTGCCTACCTTTAATCGACGGAGGAGAGGATGCACAGGAAGAGAATATTTTCCCTTTCCATGCATCCTCTCATCCGGAAAGTCCACTTCCACTTCCCATTCTTTCCTTATAAGAAAAAAGGTGGGAAGGGAAAGAGGACTAAATTAGACCTCCGGGACGCACACTCATCAGACGAAACGCGGAATAGCTTCCACTTGACGCCTGTCTTGTGTGGTCGTGGTATTTCACCGGGCGAGGCGAGCCGGGACAATTCGTGTGAACATGTTAAAGCGGATGACTTTGACGGAAAGGTGATGTACGATGTGCATATACTTTATGCTATTTTTTTAAATTTCGCTTACGAAGTCGCGAGCCACAGTTAGTTTATAATATACCTGAGCGAAAGATATGAAGAAGAGTTGTCTATGGTTGTACTTCAAGCCGGGCAGAGTGTAGTTCACTTTGGCGTTCTTGCTGTAGTCCAGGTACGCGTGGAATGAAGCCTTTAGTCCGCCATTGTCCGCTATGTTCTCACCTTGAATAAAATGCAAGATTATAACATTATATTGTTAACAATTTAAGCAATTCTTCATATTTAAGAATTCTAAAGCTTAGATTTAGTCAATACATATATAAATTTATTATTAAAAAAATTGTGCCAAATGTTTTTTAATTGACTTCAAAAAGAAAGATTTTTTTTATTTCATCTGTATTTTTTCTTATATATATATTATTATTTTTTTTTGTTGTAAATCAGTTTAACA